AAAAAAAAAACGGAAAATCCAAACAAAAAAAAAACTACTTACTAGTGTTAAATGCTTCTTCCTTTTGTTTGCTTCCAATGAATGTATACATAAAAACAGGTCGAAAATAAATAAACTGTTCTTAAAGTTCCCAGTGGTTCATCACTCTGTAAAACCCGTATATTCTATCTTACTGGCAAATAACACTCTCTTCTTATCAACTAGTGATGAAAACAATGGTACTACCAAACAAATCCCCACACATTTTTTTCTTTGCCTATTGCTCTCCATTGCAGAATGACTCCGCCCCACTGGCCCCCTACCTGTGCCTATGTCCTGGTCTCACCCCTTTTGCAGATTATTCTGCACTTTCTAATCGCCATTCAGTTAATTACCTTTTCCCGCGACTCAGCAACATACTTTTCCTTAGTGGTTCACTAACTCAACTGGCACAGCCCACACTAGTAACTACTTCTGATACGCACGGGTACCTGATTCCACATACCCGTACATTCGCTTTCTCGCAGATTCCAACGTCAAACAATGGAATTCTGATTTGACAAGCTTCCCAAAACAGACACTGTATGATCAACGACCAAAAACTTTTGGGTTTATTCTGCTGACACTTCATATATAAAAAGACTGGTCGATTCCGCATAACAAGGGTTAAGCGGCTCTTCCAAAATACCAGAGATCAACTCCGACTCATCGGCAAGGAAAATATGATGGAACACCGCCAAAATATGGCTCACCAGACTACTACAAAAAAGCAGTACAATATTTATTTAATTTATATATGAAATTTTCACTTATAAACATCTCAGAATAACAAGTGCTCACTACGAAATTTTCGCCTCACTCAAAAGCACAACTAGATGTACAAAAAACTGCTCAACCACACTCCTGTGGGAGCTTTTAAATCAAGAAATTCAAGCGATAAACTTGACTAATAATTACACTACCCCCCACCTTAGTGTGTACATTTTGTTAAAGGTTAGTACCAGGTATATAAAAATTCCAAAACCCAAAGGAACTTCATAAATTACCACTAATTTATGAACAGACAGACTAGAAACCCTCAAAAATGAAGTTGTGAATCATTACAACCTCTGAAGCTCCTAAACGACAGAACGAATGAGATGCTGCAAAGTAAAACATGCAGCGGAACATAAATCCATGAGGAACTTACAACCTTACCACAACTAACAATCAAAAGAGTTCAAGGACCAACTGATAATTTCCAATTTCTTAATTCATACTAAAACGGTAGTACTTCAGTTGAAAAATATGGCAAACTACCACTCAAGGACAGAAGAGACTCATATTCAAAGCAGCTAGGATAGACAGCCTGCAATACAAGACGATACATACAAATTTGAAGCGAAAACCCCGACGTTTTCGCAAAAATAAACTTTAATAAAACTAAACAACAGACTAACTCATTCTTTGAAGTTAATAACAATTTGTTTTTGTTTTGGATCGTCAAAACGATCCATTGTCTGAACGGATTGCAACATTAAGTACCCAAACATGAGTATAGATGCCAGAACCAAGGAACACACAATACCCATCCACGAACCAACGCTAAATGTACCAATGCAGTCAGACACATTTCGATTAAATCTAAGAGATCCCTCGTGGCTAGAAGCATCAAGATCAATCTAAAATGATTTTCATGAGAAAAATGCAATAAAAACTTATCTGAAGTTACAAGAAGTCGAACAAACAGATACGGTCGAAACAGAGTTATAATAACTTTGATATCAAGAATAACTACACACTTCCATATTAATAAACCCAATTCCAACAGAGTAGTCTTTATTATTCATTTGAAAGAAACCAGCCGGAGTTTGAGAACACGCATAACCATAACCATTCCAGCTCTCAATTCTCATACTGGTTGTATCGTTTATTGTGTTTGCAGGTACAGTAATATCCTACAAAAAGTTTGAAAAATAACACTGAGAAAGGTACGACTCCCCATCAAAAGCAACGGGAACTAGCAAATCAAAAAGCAAGGATGATTAATGCCACAATGATATCCAGTTCCGCATGTTAAAATGGATAGATTTTTGACGACTACAAACAAAACTACTTCGAATACCTCAGTAAGAAGTGCTCCATTTACTCCCTTGGTTATTGCAAGCTCTGATAATAAACTGATACTTGAAAGACCCCAGTAACCATTCGTTTTCCTAGTAAATACTAACCTGAAATCACAAAAGAAAGTGGATTAGTAGGGTATAAGGTAATAACTCAAATATCACAAAATACCTGAAGTCAACTTTTTACATCCTTTCGAACGAACTTTTAGTTGACTGAATAAAGGAAAAAAATTCAGCAGTTTACAAGAACTAAAGATTTTTAGGGAAAATGAACAGTGCTTAAAATAAAGCTCCCTCTATGTGACGTTAACACCAAACGTTTACATCTCAGATGCTTACATCAAATAAAACAATGAGTGTTCTAAAAGTAAAATTACAAGTTTTAAACGGATATATGACTCAAAAAACAACCGATCCGCTTTCAATTTCCTCAAGCTTGAATTAATCCTTTTATTTTACTTATTCTGCCTTTGTCACGTTTGCGATCAGCAGCCTCATTGATTTTTAAAGTAAACTTTAAAGAGATGTTATAGATAGACTTCTTGAACTGTCCCACGAATGACATTTTATGCACAATTACCTGCCTAAAGAAATGAATAATATTAAAATAAGTCCCAAAAGTCACAACCATTTTAATAAACTAAAGTTCATGACTACAATTATTTCATTGAACCTCTGCTCCCTGCGATGATTCTCTACTAAACAAATATCTGCATTCCGTACAGAAGTACATAGGCAACTGCAGCTCGTAAATATATAGAAAACCACACAGATATATGATATCAAATTATAGCAAGAGCTTATTCTGATTTCTCGGTTTATGAAGATAGAGCCGCTTTTCCTCCAGCAACCAGTCAAAACCCTAGTAACTGCATATGGTTCCCAATAATGGTTTCTGCTGTAGACACCTCTGAGAAACATACACACTAAACACTTCCCAATTTCTTAAAAATAGAAGAAGTGTAGTTAAAAAACACCTTTTGCACTAATGAAATGCCACCCACCTACAGGATTCTAGTGTAAACCTATAAAGTAAACGAAAGTCCAATGAGCTATTTATTTGTAATCATTATACTGGAAGGAGGCAAACTTACTCCAAAAAAATGTCTTGCTGTCCAATTGTAAAAGGAGTAGTGCCTTGCCAGGATGTCACATTAAACACCGCTTTTGGTAAAAATACTTTGAACCTGTAAAACTCAACTAAAAATGTTAATGAATGAACCGTTTCGTACGAAACACCCTACATTTGCTAGATTTTGGTGGACAGCAGTTTTTTTCATAACGAAAATGAATCACAAAATCAGTGCATTAAAGAAAGGAAATGAGTCTGTAAAACTTGCTTAAAAAAGGAAACGAACGAAGGCAAAAAACACTAAGCAGATTACCTCCCTTCGCCTACCGTATAATTACCCTTGTTTGAAATTTTAGAACAATCCACCGAGTCATCCGAATACTCGTAATTTCCGCTAATAGAGGAATAACCATTAGTCCCGGTCCACGCGCTACCAAAGCTATTGTCTGCTTTCCTCCATACGATTATATTAATGCCTTCGAGATAAAGCATGCATGGATGGTCGAAAGCTGTCGTTGTGTTAGGAGGAGGCAGTATTACGGGGAGCGGAAGAGAAGTTCCAGTCTGTAGGATACATTTGTAAAACAAAAGTAATGAAAATGAACAGTGCTGAATGCTAGATAACCGTGCCAAACTGAGGAAGGGAGGCCATTACCCTACCAACAACAAAGGTGTGGAAATACTCATGCAAAGGAAATTCTAGCCCACAAAAAAAGTTTTGCACAAAGTTGTAAGGAAAAAAATCTTTAGGTAGATATAAATAATCAAGCCGCAACAATCATTCCCATGCGGAACGAAGACTGAAAAAACAGTCTCACCCTTAATCGAGTGTTTCGAATTTCTCTTTTGCGCTGCAAGTTTTTAAACAATAATCCGGAAGGCTTAATAGAGAAAGTCAAAGTTAATAAAGGTACGACGTACTTACTGAACAGGAGAAATAAGCACTCAGAAAAGTTAAAAGAACGATTCAAATCCAAACATTAGCAAACGCTAAGAACGACCTACGTCCACTACTGTCTAAACAACTTTATTCACCTGCTTACTCATCGGTGCGATGGTAGATGGCTGTTCCGTAGTTACTTCGGCTCGTGCTTCATCTTCTCCTTCAATTTCTACCTCAGACTTTTCTTGCTAAAAAGCTAAGAAACTTATAGCTGCTCTTTTACTATTTCTTCCTAGCGATCTTTAAATATTGTTGAAAGAAAGAAAATTAAATATCATTAGACTTGAATGGTTCTAGGAAATTACAATATTCCTCCTCACTCATACAACTCTAGCTGATCGAAAAGCAACATACGACAAAAATTTACTTCCTCGAAAACAGTATACAATTAACTGAAACCAAAGAAAGTCCCGTACACTGACGAGCTTCAAGAAGCTGATCACT